CCATGGCACTGCTGGTGACACCCAGGGTACCTGCTCTCGTCCTTCCCGAGCGCTGTTGTGCCCGCGGGGAGTTCAGAGTCGTTGGTTTCCCCGGGACCGCAGCGCAGGGTGATGTCCCTCCCGGCTGTGTCCCCGTTCAGTCCCAGCCGCTCGGCAGAGCCGCAGCTTCCCCCCGAGCGGTGCTCGGGCAGCGCAGAGGGGGTGAGAGAAATTGTCTGTGAACCCTCGGAGATCGCGGTCCTCTTCCAGGGGCTCAGCAGTCCCCACCAGGGGGAATGCGGCTGCTGCTCGTCCTCCAGGTGCACGTCCAGCCCTTCCCTCAGTCCCGCTGCGCTCCCTTCCTCTCAGAGCACACCCTGCTCGCGGTGCGAGTGCAAACCGCGCAGGTGACTGCGTTCCTCTGCTTTGCTTTGGGTTTGCGTTCATCTCCGGGGCTGGGAGCCGGGATCGCCCGGCTGCCTTCACGCCTGTGAGATGCTCGCTGACGAGACCCCGGGAACAGCGAGGGTCCGACTCGAGCATGATGTTAGAGTGAAAGCATTAGTACTCTTGGTCCGAGGAAAAGTAATTATTTTAATAATTTTGTGACTTTGCAACGTGAAAGAGTAAAGGATGGATCATTACCGTACCCCAGGTACACTTTGTAAAGATGCAAATGATTGTAATTAGTACTCAGATTAGCTTAACTTCAGGGAATACCTGCGCTCCCTCCTCGGAGCTTGTATGTATTGAGGTATTTTCAAAAATAAATTCAGCTCCAGACTGCTGTACAAGGGAGTTTCCTTGGGCATCTGAGCTTGGCTGACATCAGTCAGATCACCAGGGTGTAGAAACAGTGGCATGGGAACCTGATTTATGGCTGTTGCATCTGAAGGTCTGTTTTTCCTCTGAAGAGTAAGTTTTGGGGCTTGAAAAGAGGTGCTGGAGTGGCTTTGTTTGAAACTGAAGGCTCAGTCTGTTCCTTTCAGAGGCACCGATAGGGATCGTAAACGTTTGCTGCTTCATTTGTTTTATTGTTGGATCTTGTTTCTGTTCTGAGATGGGAAATCAAGATTTTATTTTCCTTAGCGTGAGAGAAGGAGCTGGGTGTGCTGGTGTGGGAACCCACAGCATCCCATGGCAGCCCCAGGTCCCTGTAATTCTCTTTTCTCTGACATATATTTTATGATTCCTCCCTTTTCTGGTTCAATTTTGTTACTTTCAAACTAAAAAAGTGAAACTACTTAGTAGGTGTTTTCAGAGTATAGATCTGAGAAAATATTCAATGAACAAACAGATGCCCTGGAGAATGCTCTGGGTTGGACATGGTCCAGATCCTGATGCACTGTTACTCCCTCATTTTATTCTTTTAGGGCTTTGTACTTCCAACAAGAAATAAACTTGTATGTCAAAGGGATGTTAGTATCAAAACCAAGCAAATAAAGGCGCTTTGCATGTAAATGCTTCAGATGTAAGGTGGCTGCTGTACCCTATGGAGAGCATTCAGACCCTCTCAGCTGTCACTGAACTCTACAGAGTGCTACACTCCAGTGTTCCCATACGTGTCAGGGAAAACTGAAACCTGTGCTGTCTGCTAATGACAGCTGCTCCTTTGCAATGGGAGAGGAAAGCCAGCCACTGCAGCCAGCACCAAGCCAGAAATCAGGTTTGCTTTTTTGTTCATAGCTCATATCTGAAAAAAAATTTTTAAGAACTTGCGTGAGAACTGCACCTTGAGTTTACATGGAATCTTTTCAATAAAAAAGCCCAGAAAGGTATGATTTTGTCCCAAATGAAAGACCTATGTAACAGCTTAAACCAAAAAGTTGACATTTTGAATTTCTTCTTCTATAGCTTTTACTGTCCCATGTGACCTCAGCAGTCAAAAGTGCTTTTTGATTTTTGTCTAGCCAAGTCACTATGTCCATTTATTTTGGATATTGCCCTCACTACAATTAGTCATCACTGAAGCTACAAAATACGTGTTGGATAATATAGCAAACACGAGCCAGATCCTCGGATCTTTGGGTCTGCTGATCTGTTTCTACCCTTCCCATAGTGGGCAGCAGTCCTGGTCTGGGTTACAAGGTTATGGTGTTACTGGTTTCCCTAATAAACTCCATTGTAATGTGCTTTTCCCTGACACTCAGCATTTCCCTCAGAGCAGTGAACCTCTAGTGAGAATTTTGCAAGCTCTAAATGCTTCTTCATCCTGTGTGATGGTGAATTTTTGCCTCCTGCCCTCTCCAGGATGCACCAGGACATCGCCGAGTTCTGCTGGGATTGACCCTCAGTAGCACCGTCCCAGGGCTGAGTGGAACCAGAGGAGTAGGAACCAGAGCACTGAGCCTGGGCTGAGCACACCATGGGGGCAAACACCTCCAGCAAGTCACCACCCTTCAGTGGGAACGAGGATGGTAAGAGCTTTTCCTGTTTGTTCTGCTGGACTGCAGAGTCCTCAGTGCAGACTGTGACTGTGAGGGTTGTGGGCAGTGCCCATCCTGGGGCTGCAAAATGCCCGGGATCTCTGGGTCAGCAGGGGTGTGTGGAGGTCAGCAGCAGCAGCAGCACCAGCAGCAGCAGTGTGCCCATAGTCCCTGCAGAGCTGTAATCTGGTTTTTGGGGTCCTTTTGCCTCCCCTTGCAGCAGCTGGCTCTGGGAACAGGACTGTCAGCAGAGCTTTGGTGTTGAGGTGTCCCTGGCACACAAAGGTAGGGACAAAACACTACTGCTCTGGAGGCTGGGGAGGTTTGTTCTGGAGGTCCCAGCATGTGGAGGACCGGTAGGAAATGTGGTGGGAAGGTGGCTTGAGCAATGAGTGTTCCCATGGGTGTTCCTGATAGCTGCCCATCTGGGCAGTGCTGCCCACAGGCATGGGGAGGCCGAGCCTGCAGCCTAGGTCAGCTGGAAAAGGAGGGTTGGAAAAGTACTGCTTGGAGCAGTATTGAAGGCCAGGGTCCCTGTGCTGCCAAGATTACAAAGACAGTCATTAAAAGATTGCTCCATAAATATATTTGCTGTTGCATGAGTCAGCTTGCTGACTGCCATATGGGCTTTTACCTAGGTACAACAACAAAATGCATCTGTAGATAAATACAAATACATATAATTAAAAGTAAAATATACAAGGACCTGGATACCCCATCAACTCTTGTCCAACGTGCCCCATGGTGCCACTGCATGTCTGTGGCTGTTTGGCTAAACCAGCTGCGCTTTCCAATTTATTAATGTAACTGCTTGCAAGTTTTCTTTGTTTTTCATATTTTTTCCCAGTTGCTGTAGTGCAAAAGAAACCAGTGCTGTAAAGTTTTCCTGGAGATTTTTATTCCTGGTGCACCTCAATGCTCAGTTTTGGCATCTCTAATGAACAACCACTTGTGCTTGCTCGGGATGATGAGCATTTCTGCTCCTGACCACCTTCCTCGGGTGATGTGCTCTGGCTGTGGGATTTTCCCCGAGGTGGCTGGTCTCTGCTGGGTGTCTCTCTGTGTTTGATGTGATTCATGTAGCTCTAGCTCCTGCAACAGAAACACAGCAATGCCAGGAAAGGCCCCATCCTGACCATCTCGGGTGGTTCAGTGTCAGTCTGTTGGGCTTCAGTGGGCTCAGGGCCACCCTTCCACACTGATGCAGCATCCAGACCAGTGAAGTTCTGCTTCCATGGCCCTGCCTAAATTTAAAAAGTGGTAGCACGTTTTTTCTCTAATTTGTTGTGTTTTATTATACTGAGGGAAGAGAAATCGGGCTGAAACGGAGATGTCCTCTATGGAATTTTCCCTTATCTTGCAAATCAGTGACCACAGGCTATATCACCTTAGATGTCACAATCTTGTCCTTACTCTAATTTCAACTTAAATTGTAGTTAAGTAAGAGCTGCTGGGTACAGCAGGAAGCAGCACAGTGTTCCATGGCACGGGCAGGTCCCTCCCCCAGGCTGTGGGCAGTGGGGACCAGTCCCACCTCTGTGGCTGTGCCACAGGGAGACTTTTCCTCTGGGACCAGTGAGGGTGGGTGGAACAGCACAAGTGGTATGGGTGCTCCAGTGCCAATCCTAATGACTCTTGCATATTTTCCCAAATTACTGTTGCTAGAATTTCACTCTCTTCTGTGGCACCATGATTTTTATTTGAACTTTTTGAAGGGCTTTGTTTGCCTTCAGCTGAAGCAGGGTGACAGTATTATTTTTTTTCTCTCGGCATTTCCTCTGATAATTGTGGATAATAAGCAAGTGAGCTGAAAAGAGAATGTAATAACCAGACAGAAGGTTCAGGGCTACAAAGTGATCTGACTCCTGGCATAGTCAGGATGAGACCATGTGAAAAGCCAGATTTTTTTTGTGCTGTTCCTGTGCTGAAGGGCATGGGAAGAATCCAAGGGTGTGGCAGCCTGGTGTTCTCCCCACTAAATTTGGTGGAAAATAAAGCAGAAATAGATAGTAGGTGAGGACAGGGGTGGGTCAGAAGGATACACATCATTCCATGGTCCTTTGCTGGTGCCCTCTCCAGCCCACCAGCAGCTGCTCTGTGTTTAAATCGCCCTTGGACCGAGCAGAGCATCAGCATCATCCTCTGCCTGGGTCTGCACCATGTCCCACTCTCCAGTACAGAGGGACTGGCATGATCACTGAGTGGCAGTACTTGTTTTCCTGAGGCTGCAGAGCAGAGGAGGAGAGAGGGAGGGAGAGACTATGATGAAAATGGGGGAAATTGCAGTGAGAAAAGGAAGGGGAGTTGTAACAGACTGTGTGGTGCTGTGCTTGCTGTGCTGGGGTGGGCAACAGGGATGGGGGGACCTGAGCTCCTGAAGCACTGATTTTCCTTGGCAGATGACCCTGGGGACTTTGGCAGGGTTGACTGGTCTTTGTTAGGGATGTTTTTTGTGGCTGGTTGGGCTCTGTACTTTTTAACATAAATATTGTTCCTTGAACCTCAGTTTAGAAATATGATCCCTGCTTACAAAATAGTGTTTCATGATTATACCTCAGTTACTTCTTTATGGCAATTGTATTATCTTCCTTTGCATCTCCTAAACACTGTTTGTCTGAGTTGGCAGAGCACATGAGTTTTTTCTCTGAAGGGCAAAAGCTTTGTCTTTTTCTTTGTTTTAGATGCCATCAGACAGGGAAATGTGGCTTGTCAATTCTGTAGGTGTGATTCAGAATGAACAACATGTGTTTGGTTCCTGACTTGGACACCACAAACTTCAGTGCTCTTCAGGAGTGGGATGGTAGGAGGGCTAAACCAGAGAAAGGTTACAATTTGCCTGTACCTAGTTTGAGAGTCTTAAATGAAGTATGCAACTTTAGCTTTTTTTTACACCCAGCTCAGTTATAGGCCTGTGTTTAAAATGTTAATGAAAACATCAACATTAAATAACAAGGAGGCAGAGGGTGTGAACATGCTCATGAAAGCATTCCTGTAAAGGACAATAGAGATACAGGGGGTGGACATGCAAAAACTGGCTGCTGGTCTAACTCCTCTGGATTTACAGCTGTTCCAGATGTTAATGCCCAGCTGTTAATGCCGTGGTCTGCCCTGCTCTGAAGAGCCCCATGTGGGGTCCCAGTGCTGGGGACCAGAGATCCCCCCTCTCCCCACAGCTGAGGCTGTGGCATGGCACAGGGCTACTGAAGCTGACCTCTCTCTGCAGCAGGCACCCCTCTCATCTTCCCCTGCAGGTGATAAGCATCTTCACCCTCCCTTTTTGTTCTGCAGGTACCCTTCTCTCTGATGGTCTCGCTGGCAAACAGATCCAGTTAAACTCAGTCATCATCAGCTTGTATTTACTCTGATATTTGCAGCTGTTCTGGGTTTGAGAAAGGGCATCTGTGCCTAAAAGCTCGTGTTCCTTCCAAGTGCTGTAGCTGGTCACCTTAAACTTTGCTTTGGTTAGACTGTGCCATCCTACCTGAAAAGGTAATGGCAATGTTTTCCTGAGGTATAAGGGTTTCATGGACTAAGCTTTGCACTTGTTCTCAGCAGGAGCAAGATGAGGCTGATATCTCTAACAGGCAGGGCAGGAGGACAGAGTGAGAACATCAGCTTGGGAGTTCTCTGCCTGATCTGCCATTGACAGAGGCTGACCCAGGGAATTTGCCTTTGCAACTGTGCTGGAGTGAAAAAAATCCCTGCTAAATGCCAAGTTTAAATAACACCCAAATCTCCAAAAGAAACACAGTGTTGCTGGGGCATCCCTCATTTTTCTCAGCTCATATGGAGGAAAAATAGAAATAATGTGATATCATCAAGTGTTTGCTCAGCCATTTAATACTGAAATGTTTCCTCTTTCTTGCAGTTACCTTCGACCATTTTGAGATTTTGCGAGCTATTGGGAAGGGCAGCTTTGGAAAAGTGAGTGTTTTGGGACCTAATCACTGTGTGGACAGCTGGAGGTGTAACTGGGTGGAAGTGGGTGAACTGGAGGCTTGCATGACAGCACAGAACCAAAGCCCTGCATTGTCAGTGAGCCTTGACCTGAGCTTCAACTCCTGGTAATCAGGAAGGATTCAGAGCTCGATTCCTCATCCATTCTGTAGCCACAAATTATATTACAGGAGATTAAAATGAGAAACTGATCAATCAAATGAATGGAATTTCATTACGTTTCTGAATTAGCATTTCCTAAGATTTCCCAGAAAATCAACACTGAACATCATGATGCATATTTAATAAACATCTACAATCAATATGAAAGCCTGGCAGGTTTTTTAATATGTTAAGTATTTCTCTGTGAGACACAGTGTTTGTTATTAAGCATCAAGTTTCGGTCGTGCATTTTATTTTTATGCTGTTGTGGAATTTGCCACTTGTATAGGCTGGCAGAAGGTCGTTCACCTCTTCACATAAAGGCACCCTGATGCCAGAAGTGGGATGTGTCTTGGGTGCAGAGGGCAACAAAAATCTCAGACAAAGAGACAAAGAGATTTATCTGGAGGAAAAAAAAAAAAAAAAGTTTGACTGAAACTTGCAAATTCATCCCAACCTCATAAACTGTTGTGTAAACAAATCCGAGCCACTGGCCTGTTTCACTGTGCACTCTCACAGGCTCGGAGGCTTGCCTGGAAGTGATGTTTCTTTCTAGATTTGGGGACATATAAGAAAAGTTACAATTCAAAGCCCAGTATCCCTCAAACAAAGGCCAGGATTCACTGTGAGCTGAGTGACACTTCCCAGGAAGGCGAGGATCAGGTGCTGCTCCCCATGACTGAACTGTAGTTCTGTGGTGGAGGGGGCTCTCCCCAGCAGTAACTAGTGTGGGAGGGATGGACATGACCATGATTAGTGAGTGATATTAAAGGAAATGTTGACTTCTGTGTCATTCCCTATCTCCCCTCTTGTGGTGATAAATTCATTCTGCTCACCTTCCCCACAAAATTTCTCTTCAGGTGAAAACTAGGCAAGAAATTCCTGGGCAAGGTCCATTGTTGCAGCATCAGTGCACGGAGTTGTGCCTTGGCAGTGTGGGCTCTGCCAAAGCCACTGGAGAACACTCGTGTCATTGGCTTTTACCAGCCCAAATTAGCTGACAAATCATCTCTGATTTATCCCCTGATTTGCTCTCCTAGGTCTGTGTGGTGCAAAAGACTGACACCAAGAAGATGTACGCCATGAAATACATGAACAAACAGAAGTGTGTGGAGCGTAATGAAGTCAGAAATGTTTTCAAGGAGCTGCAGATTATGCAGGGCCTGGAACACCCCTTCTTGGTTAATTTATGGTAAGAGGTGGTTCCTTGGCTCGCTGTTCCAGTCAGCACAGTCAGTTACAGACACCTTTGAGACCAGACCCCCCCTAGTCTGCTGCAAGCCTGTCCTGGGACCAGCTGGTGTGTTCTGCTCACCGGGGCTCTGGTTTCAGGGGAATCCTGTTTAATGAAACAAGCAGTTATCTATCTCCCTTGTCCCCCCAGACAGCACAAGAAAGTTTATTCATGTGTCCCCTTGCAGTGCCCCCCAGGCAGATATTGCCCATCACCATAACCCACCTGTATTTAATGGTGCTCTTTGCAGCAGCAGCAGGTCCCAGCAGCAGCACAGGATCGATGGCCAAGCAGGGCTCTTTGCAGAGTGTCCCTTGGCACTGTGTTCTTCTTAATTTTATTAGGACACCAGTAACATTCCAAGTGGTGTGAGCTCATATACCATGTGATAAAGTGGCTAATATCCTGTAGGTATAGGAGTCCTTTGGGGTGGTAGGTAATTACATTTATTGAAAATTGGATTTAATTTTAGAATAAAGTAGAACTTATCGATGTTAAACACAAGAAATGAGGCTAAAACACATTGAAGATCACAAATCTTTGAATTACTGCTCCTCTTTGAAATCCCCTGTAACCTGGGTGCTGTTTGGTGAACCCTTGGGATTTTGCTGCAGCTGCCATTCAGTGTTGGTATGAGTGGAAAAGGTGCAGCCACACCTCCCAGGTCATATCTCCATACTTTGCTTTCCTACTTGAACACACAGTTCCAGGCAAAGCTCACTCAGCAGCTGAGAACTGACCAGTGTGTGCATATGTACAGACCTGTAGGGAACAAACCATGCAAGTGTCCCTGTTCTTGCCATGCCTTCCCTGGCCTCAGAATGCCTTTACCATTCCTGTGGCTTTCCTGCACTCCAAGTGATACACAGACTATAAGCTTTGAGTGGCCTGAGATGTGGTTTGTGGTGCTGTTCATCCCATCAAGCAGTCGGTGTGCTGGTAAGGAAAAATCCATGAGGAAAGGGCTCGTAGCTGGTGGTCTGCCCCTCTCAGAGGGACACTGGGTAAACACTCCATCAAATAAGGTCACTTACAGAGGACTGGCAGAGTGCAGCTGCACCCCTGTTGTGCTGAGCACGTGGGTTCATGGACAGGCTGCTGCTGGGAGAGCTGGCACCCGACAGCGAGACCAGAGGGTCTGGGCAGAGCTGTGCTGGGCCAGGGCTCCTCTGTGTTGCTCCTGTGGTCACTTCCCACAGGTGCTCAGAGAAGGCAGAAAATCCATCTGGAGTTGTTCAGTCTGCTCTGACTCTGTTATGGATCTGAGGCTAAATTATTGTCGTCACAAGTGTGACCGTAGGATTTTAGTCACAGTGGGAAACAGAGCATGGGAAGGTAATGAAATTACTTCTCAAGTGGAAAAGTTTCGAGAAATGATGAGTATTCCCCAAAGTACCACATGTCACTTTATGATCTGTTGTTTTTCAGTGCTGCCATCCCTGAACCATGTGTGTGCTCTTTCAGGTACTCCTTCCAGGATGAAGAGGACATGTTCATGGTTGTTGACCTGCTGCTTGGAGGGGACCTGCGTTACCACCTCCAACAAAACGTGCGGTTCCAAGAGGGCACAGTGAAACTCTTCATCTGCGAGCTGGTGCTGGCCCTCGACTACCTGCAGAGCAGGCACATCATCCACAGGTCAGCTGGGACCTCGGGAGGGCTGATGGCCACAGGCTGCACTGGGGGAAGGCTTGTTCCTCTTTGATGTGAAACGACAAATAGAAGCTTAAATACTAAACAAAATATTCTCCCACGTACGTTTGCTTTCATGTGAAACACAAGGCTTCCCCAAGAAAAGCATTTCATATACAGCAGAGAGCATCTGATTTCTCCCTCTGGGGTAGCTGTGAAATAGCATATTCTGCTGATCCTGCAAAAAGCTGTCTCTAATAGGTTTAATTAGCTGTAGCTCATTAATATTTGTCATGGTCCAGGGAGGGTAGGTGTCAGCACTCACAACTCCCCTGTGTTCACACTTGGAGGTGCCTCCCTTTGTCCCCCTCTCCGTACCCCACCAAAATATGAGGAATGGGCCCAAACACAGCTTTTTTTTCTCTGTGAGGTAAATTCCTTTCTAGGATTTGGCTACCAAGATTTCTCATGGACAGTGAAAAAATGTGTGTGAGCTCTTGCCACACCTTTGAAGACCTGCAGAGAAGCAGAGGAGGAAGAGCTTTCCCCTGGCTGGGAAGCAGGGTTTGGCTGTGGAGGGATGGACATGCAGCTCTCTCCTGCTGGTGTCATGGGCAGCACAACCCTGGGCACCCACGGGTTTGACCAAGTAGCTGCTGTCAGGGAGGATGAGCAGGGAGGGACTATGAGGGTCAATAAAGGCAAGAAGAAGGTTACCTCATTTATAAATATCACTCCAGAGGAGTGTTCTTGTGCAGTGCAAGAATTAAGCATGGCACAGAGTGTAAAATTGAAATGGTCCTGGTTGTTGGTGGGGAAGGCACACTCTGGGGAGGGGCTGGGGAGGATGAACTCCTGTTCCTGTCCACAGTGTCTGGCTGCCACACCTGGGGTGTGAGGGAGGAACAACCCCTCAGCTGCCCCCACAGCCATGAGACCCCAGAGTGGTTCTGCTCTACTTAGGTCAGGGCCAGACCCTGGGAACAATTCCCACCTTCTCAGGGGTCTCCTCTTTTGTACTGCTTATTTTGTGCCAAACCTGCATGGATTTCTGTCCCAATGTGAATCTGCAGTGTGCACTTCGTGCAGCTGCATCTGTTTAAGGTGAATCAAGAACAACAAAACATGTATGGCAGGCTGTAAAATTTGGAAGTTATTTAATTAACACTGTAATGAAAGTTGTTTAATTAACACTGTAACCCAGTGGGACAATATTAGATAGATAAAGTGACTCAACTGAGTCAATTACACTGCAACAGCTGTAATTGGGAACATCAGGAGACAGGGAAGCAGTGGCTTCGTGTGGCTGAACAAAGCTGTGCAGAGACAGCAAACCCAGGCTGGAATTATTTCACACCTAGATGTAAAAGAATAGGAAATATTAATATCTTTTAGTTTAGGAAATGGTATAACCAGTTTATAAAAAAGAAATACACAAATAAACAGTAGTCAGCATTATCCCCGGTCATCCTTTGCATCCTGAGAATGATCTTACTGTGCTGGTGTAATTCCAGAGGCTGTATGACAAACTGAGAGAAATCAGAAAAAGCCACATTAGAAATTAAAAATTAATAATTAAAAAAATAATTGGAAACAGTTCTGCTGTGCTTATGGGGAGAACCAGCCAGTTACCTGGCACAGCCCCATGCTCTGCTCATGATACCTGTTCCTGTGTTTACCTGTGTGATGGGGATGGCACCAGGAAGGTAAGTGGTGTTTATAATCCACTGGAAGTAGTTTGGGTGACAGGAGGCCAGAGAGCTGTAAGCTATTACATGACAATTAGGTATATTGTGTTTTCCTGATTCCAGGTGGCTTGGTGAACTTAAACTGTATCTTAGGGATCGAATTTTCAAAGATAAAATCCTAAACCTGCTCATTTCTTCCTTTAGAACCCCTGGGCCTTGTGGGGAGCAGCAGCTGGCACAGGGTCACTGTAGCTGTTGCCTGCCCTGTGGCTGGGACCTTCTCCCTGGGGCACTGAATGGCATCAGCTGGGCAGGCACTCAATGGGGGCCGGTGTAATGAGCTCATTAAAGACAGGTAATAGCTTGTAAAGTCACTGAGGTGGACACAATGGGTGTATCAGTGTCTCAGGTGTGCATTTCCTCCCTTTGGTGAAAGCATTTCCCTGCAGCGTTGCTATAGGTATGATTTTGTGGGGTTTTTTTACTCAGGAACAAAACCTGTGGAGAACATGCTTGTTTCTAGACCAAAGATGTGAAAATAATTTAATTTGTACTGAGTGAATGGGGAACCATTCTCAACACAGTATTGAAACAGATTGAGAAGTAACAGGAGGAAAATGGTAAAACGAAGCTCTAACTTAACTGTGGGAGGACTCACCTGAGTGCTGCTCATCCAAACCCCTGCAGCCTTCACAGCCCTGGCTCTGTACCCACTGCTGCTGTTTGATTAGTCACTGTCTCATGCCTAAATCAAACAGGAACATCAGAGCTGAGAAGCTTTGAGGCTCTGAGGGCACGGTGTCTCTGCCAGCGTGTCCCAGAACCTGGGCTTTCCTGAAGTGCCTGCAGCCGTGTTTCCTGTCACTTCTCTAGGCTAATGGCTGTCTCTGCTTCTCTGCTTTTTTTCTCAGAGACATCAAGCCCGACAACATTTTACTGGATGAGCACGGTAAGTGCCGGGTGCTTTGTTGTCACGTGTATGTGTAAAAGCAGAGGCAGAGACAGGAGACCCAAGCTGCAGTCTCAGCGCTCGCTGGTGCCTTTGTTTAGTGTTGCTCTCTTTCCCTCAGCCCAGCTGGGAGTGGCACCATCCCATCCTTTTGTGCTTCACTTGCTTTTTGAGTGGCAGTGTCTCATACCTCTGGGCACTGGGCACCCTGTAATGCTGTTTTTACGGTTGCCTCAGTGTTTAACCAACAACTCTTTAGGTTGACTGACTTGATGATGACCCTACAAGGCACTGGCAGGGACCCCACCTTGGTGCTGCTCGGGGTCAGTTGCTGATTTTAACACTTTCTTGGCTCTTGCTTAAAACTTACTCAAAATGCATTGTTTGAAGAGTAATGCTCGTGTCACTGCAGGGTTTGTGCAGTGTGTGTTCACAAACAGAACGAATTATGGTGCAACAGATAATCCTTATTCAGGTATTTTCCTTTTCCTTGAGCATTTGGTATTGGGAGGGAGCTCCAAAGGGGATTTGGGGCTTAGTATGTTATAGATGTTGCTATCAATTTTTCAGTAGTGTTTCTCAGCAAAACCCTTGACTATATTCTTGCATGACTCTGTAGTCACATTTTTTCCCCCAGCAAACCTCTCACAGTGAAGAGTTGTCTGATATTTAATAGCTTGTAACTCATTAAACACTTTGTCATCTCATATTTTTTGAAAAATTCCATGTAATTGACTTGTTGTGAGAAATCTTAATTAGCAGCTACAGTAAGGTGCTTGAAGAGAAAAAGTCAGTGCAGGGAAAAGGTATATCTGAATCTGTTATCACTTCAGATGCTGCATCTCCCAAGGGAGGCATCACCTGGCTCTGCATGACCATGTGTGTGACCAGGGTTGCCTGGCAGCACCGAGCCCAGGCTCGATCTGTTTGCATATGACCTCTAAGTTCAGAGCATTGGCTGATTATTTATTTAGGAGCTGGAAGCAAAGCAACTTTGCCTCCAGGGGCTGGAGCCTCTGTCCTGCCTCACTTGGTCCTTCTCTGGCTGTTATCCCATGCTCAGACCGTGGAGAACATTGACCTCACTGATGTGCTGGGGACCTGCTCTGCCAGCACTGCTGGGGCTCCCCATGCAAGGCTATCTTTGGTCAGCCCTCGCTGGCAGACACTCCCCAGAACCTCTGTGCCCCTCAGACTGGGGTGACACAGTCCCCCAGGAGGACCTGAGATCTCTGTGGCCGTGGGAACGTAGGTCAGTGCTCCTCAAAGAGAGAAAAAAAATGGGGAAAAAACTGTGCTCATCTCTGCAGTTGCATTCAGCCCAGAAGGATGCAACCTGCAAACTTCTATAATGACACTGCAATTCAGGAGGAGTTTTGAGCCTGCTCCCTGTTCACCACGAGGTTTCACCTGTGTTTTGCAGAGGTTTCAGTTTTTTCCTGGGGACATACCCTTGACTCCAGTGTCCTTCTCTCTGTGACTTGTAGTATTCCTTTTCTTCATCCATGGCAGCAAAGGTCCTCCGAGGCATACAGAAAGCTTTGGTCACACACAGAGTTCAATTTCTTCTTGTCCCCAGAGTAGCTGTTATTGTAGCTGCATGTTTATCTATATTTAGCCTAGAAGATCGTGGTTGTTTTTCAGTATGTCCTTCCCTGTGGTGCAGAGCTTCAACTCCCCATTCTCTCTCCTCTCCCATCACCATCCCACTTTCACAACTGGGATCACAAAATAGATGCAATTAACTAACATTAAATTTTTTGTCATGTTCTTGATGGGGACCAGTTCCCCAAGAACATGAAGTACCTCAAGACCTTCAGCAATCAGACTTTAGTCCTTCATTTTTTAGATTCCTTTTGTCCCCTAACTCTGCCCTTTGACCCATCTCCCATGGGCTGTAGAGTTCCTTTACAGCTTTGATTCCTTCACGTTTCAGATTTAAGTTTGGAAAGGCTTCCTGCTCTGTTACAGACCCCAGCACCCTTTTTGTGGGTGTTAATGGCCAAGGAGGCTACAGGAGCCCTCGTGCACATCACCTGATCTTGGTGCAGGAGGCTGGGTTCAGTTTTTAATGCCTTTCATTATGCCACATGTTGGTCGAAATGTGTTGTCCTGACACTGTCACAGACCTGACACACACCTCCCACTTTCGCCTCTGTCACCCTGGTTGGTGACATATCAATTTCAGACAAGGAATTATAAAGTGGAATATCAGGCAAATAACTTTCTGTGCAATGAAAGAGCCATTGTTCAACATCAGAGATTAGGATCAGGTCCTCCAGGGAAAAAATCCCCAGCAGATGACACCTCCAGCAGTCATTCAAAGCACAAAGTGATTTCCTCCTTTAAAGACACTTCTGTCAATTTGGCTCAGTGACAGCACAGCTTACCTGGGAATGAACGGATATAACAGATGGCAATTTCTGGGAATTGTGGCTAATTCATCAGGAGTTTTTGACCAGGTCATTTGTCTAATAAAATTGAAGAAAGGCTCAGTTTTATCTCTGGTAAAACAAAGGTTTTTTGCAAGAGTCCTGTAATGGCTGTGCTCAGGATCCTTTCTTGTACTGCTGCCAGAAGGTTCTCTAGGGCAGTGCTGCAATGGGTGAGTTATGCCAGTGCAGGCATGGCATGTTTGCTCCCTCATCTCAGGTGAGAAAGTTAGGGCACAGCCTGTCCAAGAGCCTCCACGATCCACAGCTCCTGGGGACTCTAATTTCATATCCTTTAAAATGTTTTCTTAGTTGAATCTGCAGAAGCCTTGTATTTTTGGCACAAAAGATGTTCTAGAAAGGTGAAGGAATTATGAAGTAACAGAAGTGCTGAATGCAATAAGAAAATTGTTTGCCTTAAGGCAAACCCAAGGATTGGTCTGGCAGTGCCAGTGTCAGGCTTGGAGAAGGAGCCATGTGGTGCTCAAGAGCAGCTCTGGCTGTGCTGGTTCAGAACTGCCTGCAATTAGAGATGCTGAGAATCAGGAAAACACGAGCCTTAAGGTTCGACCCTAAAGCTCAGCAGCACCCCCCAGTGCATCCTTCATGGGCCCCAGTAGCTCCCACCCTGGTCTGTAACACTGCCATAACTGTTCAGCCTCATCACACTGCCCTGAGCCCCTTCCTCAGCCTCACTGGCTGGATTTGGTCATTTCTCAGGTGGGCTAGTTTATAAAACTTGTGATTTGTTTGAAGTGAATAATTTAAAAGATGGATCCAGAGGAAGGCATGTTTGTGCTTGGAATATCAAATTCCTAATAAGCCTTTATGATTCATATTTATGAAAACAGCTCCCTACAAAGTGGAATGAGAGCTGGAGTTGAAAGGAAAAACAGCACAGGGATGCAGGGGATGTATCCAGACAGGGCAGTTGGATGTCATTCTTTCTCCCAAGTGCTCCCCAGTGATGTGATGCTGCTCTTTAGTGGGCAGGCTGGGGGAGTGAGTGCCTGTGGATGGTGTGAGCAGCAGGGAGGAACACGTGCTCGGTAGGTCTGTTGGGAACTGTGTGAGGGGCGAGTGCCAATGCCTGGTTTGTGCTCTTGCAGCAGTGCCACAACTCACCAGGACATGGGTGTGATACAGAGGTTTCAGGTGAAATCACAAGTTCTGCTTTTACTCTCCACGTTTCCCCAGCTAGATCAGGTATTTGCAGCAGGCACCTTGTATCACTGCTCTCACAGAACAGATATATAGGCACAGTTGTAAATATTTACCTAAATGCTCACAGTATCCAGACAAGAAAACAGGAGTTCATTGCCACAGCATCAACTTCTAGACCTATAAAGGTGATGTTATTCTGCTTTAACTCGTGAACTAGAGCAGCAGTGGATTTCTAGCTGTTTGAAGCTAATGACTGAGGAAGGTGTTGTCACAGCATCTCTATCAGCAAAAGCCACTTTACTTCGATCTCTGTGGTTAGAGAAAACAGCAGCAATCCAGCTCCCCTCTGTTACTGCCGAGGGGACAATAAGGCTGCAAAACACAGGAAACAGAACAGCTGATGTGTTGCTAATGAGCTCACCTTTGTCAGGGGTGAGCAGCCTCAGTGCCTGAGGAGGAGATGAAGGAGGTGGGAAAGCGGAGCCTGCCTGTGTTTGATCCGGAGAATTGGGCTGAACTAACCCACGAGTTTCAGAGAGATTCTCTTCAGTGCAGCCAGCCAGGTCTGATCACCTGTATGTCCATGTGGGGCTGCTCTGCTCCCCGACAGTGAATGGGGAATAATAAATTGAGTGCCTAAAAAACCAAAAAAAGACAAGTAAAAGCACAGGCAGGAGCTAGGTGGGAGCATTGCCTTTCTCATCCCCCTGTGGATCACATCCACCTCTTTTATTTCCTTTTCGATTCAAAGGCAGCAGTTGTGCATACTATAGCCGTGGCAGCAGAGCCCATTCCTGCCCCAAGGGGGTTTCATGATGTTTGGATTTCTGTGCAAGGCTCTTTCGCTGGCTACCAAAGGTGCTTGGTTCCACACTGGAGGCAAATGGAGGGAGTGCTTAGTACCTGGAACACCAAATGGAAAGCAACTAGAAAGCCAAACATCAGGGATTTTTTTTTTTTTTTTTACTTTTTATTTTTTAAAACATAGTGGAATTTTTTCTGTGAGAAAAGTTCAGTTCTCTTCCCCTCAAATTTATGAAGACTCAAAACAATCATCGCTAAATTACTTCTTGGAGAACTCCCATTTTTTTGCTTCCCAAAGGGAAAATAAGGGGATATTTGAAGTAATAAGACACAACTGCAAGCAGCCTGCAAGCTGAAATATTTTCTATCAATTCTTCCACCAGAATATTTTTTTTGCTGGAAGCTACTTTCCATGGAGTATTTTACTTCATGTTTCTGATTCAGAACTGTTTCTCATGTGAGACTAAAGCCAATCCTGTTACATGTTAACCTCTCTCTTTCAGGACACGTGCACATCACCGATTTCAACATCGCCACGATGCTGACGAAGGAGATCCACGTCACCACCATCGCTGGCACAAAGCCCTACATGGGTGAGAACCAACACCAGTTAAACCTTCTTGAATTACCATTTTATGGTGGGACACGGGTGAAGTCCTTTTTGATGGGGGTTTGGACTCTTTTCTTCCTTGTCTGTGCCAAAATATACATGCTGGTTTGAAATAAGGAGCACCCCGGAGAGGGGCTACAGAGCAGGGACAGGGAATGCCTCAGTGCAGTTGGGGAACATGCACTGTATCCCTCTGCAAATCCTAAATGCAGATGGACTCGAGTGCACTGCAAACACGGATTTCAGTGCCATGATGCCACATTGTACAGCATGGGTTTGATTATAAACTAAGATGGTTGCACCCCTGAGATCCCCGAGCATTTTACAAGCAGCAGTCACGCTGTGTAGTGATGATGAAGTGTTCCTGCTACCCTTGAGAAGGGAAAATGAAGCACAAAGGTTTGTATTTGGTCCCTTAGTACATCAGCACAAGTCTTATGCAGCTGCATCACTAGCAATAATTTGAATTTTTATATAAAATGGCTGCTTTAAAAACTAGCGTTACTCCATGTTCAGGCCAAGTGAGTGGCTGTAAAAAAGCATTGCTCCTTGTTTTGTTGGTTTTAGATCAGTTCTTGCCTCCCAGCTTGTACAAAAATTTTGAAGTATTTTTTTTTTCCTTACTCTCAAAAGGGAAATTTATTGGCTAAGAAAGAACATTTCAGTCAGTGCCTCCCCCCGGCTCCCCATTAAAAGCTGTGGCTCTCAGGCTTCCTTCAGTTAAAATTTGTTTTTCCCTGCCAAGGGTGCAGTTGGCACCACATCTGCATTTACACTGCATATTAATGTTCCCAGAGAGCTGCTTTCATTGATGGTTGAGACTGGAAGTGGGCTCTGCCAGATTGAACTGCTTTAAATATGAACAAAGAGATGAGTGGGATGGGAGCAGCTTCCCAATGTGCAGATCTGCCGAGTGCTGCTGGGGCACAGAGGCTTCCTGGAGCCCGTTTACTATGGATGATGGGCAACTCCTCTGTCAGTAAAAGGAATTCGTTCCTTTTGGGCTTTGGGGGCAGAGAAGCACTGAGAGGTTCATGTGCAGGGGCCTGTGGGGCTGCTGGGTGCTGCTGGCGCAGGAGCACGGCAGCAAAGGAGGGGTGTGGGTCAGGCACTCTGTGTTGCTCATTCCCACTTGGGATTGCAGCAAGGCAAACTTTCTTTTCCCTGTATTTCACAGCACCTGAAATGTTTAACTCCACAAAACCCACTGGCTACTCCTTTGCTGTGGACTGGTGGTCACTGGGAGTCACTGCCTATGAGCTGCTCAGGACCCGGGTACGTGTGGGGCTCCCGGCCCGGCCGGCTCTGTCCTTGGACACACTGTTGGGAATGTTAATGCTCTGTAGCAGGCATGAGAGGGCCAAGCCAAATGCAAGATTTTAGAGGTTATTACAGCATAGGAAGCAGAGACTACATGTCCACCACGGCTCCTGTGATGGCCAAGAGCTCAGAGAAGCTGCTGCAATACAGAACATCCTGTGGTGGTGGTTCCCTGCTCCAGCTCAGGGCCTCTGGGTTGGCATAAGCAGGACAAGGCAAACAAGCAACAGCTCCTGAGGTTTGGGCTGCAATGTCCTTTACCTGGAACTCCCATCCTGCAAGAGAAAAAAGGAAACTTGAAAGAAAATCTCATTGCTGTTGTAATCAGACTGAGCAGCTGGAGCAAATGATGGATAAAGCCTGTGCCATCAGAGCTCTGCTGCTGATACAGATAAGATCATAGATAAGATTGGGGGCCTTGTAGACAGACAAATACATCAGTATTTTGGAAGTATTGTGTAAAAAAGTGGGACAACATTTTAAAAATTACACTCTTCGAAACAAAAGGAGAATGTAATTTAAAGTAGAATGTTTAAAATCTTGTGAGGCTCTGAAACTTCTTTCAGTATGAGTGTGCAAAACATGTTTTTAAAAACTCTATCATAAGTCTTTGCAGAATGCCTAAAAAAATGTTTTGATTAAGAGATTTTTCAGATGAATCTGTGTGTCCCAAATTGTGAGAGATCATGTTAGCAGACATGGAGGGGATGTGGCTGCCTGACCTCTTGGGTAACTGAAGCCACATCCCTGTAAACATCTTAATGTAATATTTGAGCTTTCCATTTATAATGCTAAATGAATGTCAGGACTGTGCATCACACTGATTTTAGAGTCGATGGCACTGTTTCCAAGGGCAGGAGCAGAGATGCCTTTGCATGCTGACACCTGATGGCACAGTCGCGGTGAGATGGTGGCACCTGGGTGGCTGCTGCGCGGGGGAAGTGAAGGGAGGCCTTGAGGTCCATCTAGTGTCGGCACGCGTCAAGCACACTGCACCTGATCTGATCTCACTGTTTATAGCCACTATTTTTTAAATGTGTCTTTAACGCCCCCTCTCCTCCCCTCAACATAAGGTAAAAATCTGGTAATCAAAACTTTCCAAATGAAAACAGCCCGCCGTCGTAAGGTGTCCCTCCGGGTAAGGCAGCAGTACTGCTGTAAAGGGACAGTCATCCTGCAGCCTGACACCCACCTGGGGCTGGTTACCCTTCTGGGTCATCTTTTTCTGAGCTAATTTGATCAGTAGGAGAAATCCAGCTCCTTTTTGCTGGCATTGTCCCTGGCACGAGTGAAGAACTGAAAACATTGGCACATTTTACAGGGAATATCAGGAATGCTCTAACCACAGCACTCTGTGTCATAGTCTTGTAAGATACAAACGCTGATAAGGCTGAGCAAACCCATGCTGGTTTTAACTCTGACTTCTGGGCTTTGCTCCTGCCTGTCCTGCTGTTAAATGTCCAGTTATTAGCATAGATCTTGCTGACATTTTGTTTATTTCAACTGAGCCGCAGTCACACAGAGAGAAATGTCCCACGGGAGGCTGGGGACTGGACAGAGAGACTGTGCGAGGCTCTAAACAGATTTCCCAAGGAGACCTGGAAAAAAAGCAGATAAATTCAGGTGCTTTCCTTGTGGCGTTTCCCACAGAGGCCGTATCACATTCGCTCCAACACTTCCACGAACGAAATCGCCCACGTGTTCAGGACAGCCAAGGTGATGTACCCCGCCGCCTGGTCCCCGGACATGGTGTCGCTGATCAAGAAGGTGAGGTGGCCGCGGGGCGGGCGAGGGGCCGGGCTGTGCCAGTGCTCCTGCCACTCGCAGTGCACGGGGAGGGGAGTCCTTGCAATCAGTGTCCAGGCTGGTGTCAGTGACATTTGGGTGGCATTGTGTAATAAATGCCAGCGTTTGGTGCTCAGCTGCAGGTGGTGATGGCAGCGAGCAGTGCTGTGTCCCGGGCTGGCACACGTGGTGGCTGCTGCTATATCTCCTCTAAGGACACGGTAGCCTTCGCTTCCAGAGTGTCCTCCAGCGCTCTGGAATGACCTAGGTTAGAAGCAGATATTGATATATATGTCAATAAGTTCAGCAAAAAAAATTATATTTTTTTAATCCTCAAAAAAACGTTTGTTCCAAGATGGAAAATATTTGCAGGAGGTGCCGATGCTGTCGAAATCCTTTGATGTCACGTGATTTATGCACCACTGCAATTTTATTTCAATAGAGCTTCCTATGCTGTAATAACCCCTAAAATCTTGACTTGCTTCAAAATCATTACTGGAATAATTTTGAAGCTGAAATACCATCTGAAGCGAAGCCACAGCTTCAATAAACAAGACTGTAGCTTGACAGTGTCAGATGCTGTCTGCACACAGCGGCAGCAAAGCTGAGCACTGACCCCTGCAAAGCAGCACTGGAAGCACATTTTCAGAAAGTATGTAAATAGTTTTCTAATTTTCAAATAAGTGTAGGCAGTAAAGTAGTACTTAATGAAGCTTTCATCTGGTTTTTTTTTTCCAAATAGTATGTGTAAGTATTCTGTCATTTCTAATGAAATACTCTGAAACATTTTTATGAAAAGAGGCCATCAATTCTTTGCTGAGACAGAATCACAGCCTATTTTCCAGGAAGAAAATTGAAGAATATTTCCATTTGCTTAAAATTCAATGAAGCCAATATTTCATTGAGCCTAACAGTAACACAGGGATATTTACTGCAGATGTCCTCTGTGTTTCTATGCTGAAAGTTTTTCCCTGGAACCACGGCATGCTGCAAGCCATGGAGGCTCCCTTGTGAATAAATAATGCAATGTCACAATTATTTAAATTGCCCAGTGCCCCTTTGCATCTGGTTTAACAGCCAGATGTATTATATATGAGGCCGACTGCAACGCCTTCCTGGCTCAACCATCCCCTGTGGAGTTTTGTATTTATTAACGTCTGAGGCAGATGTTTGTCATTGCAGAGCCACAGCACTGGTGCTGGGCTGGAGCCCAGGGGGACCTGGGTGGTGGGGACATTGCTGTGTGCCCAGCTGCACATCAGCATGAGGAGGGCTGGGGGGGGTCACCGTATCCACACCCTCCCTGGAGGGTTTGGATCATCTGGTTTTCCTGCTGCATTTTTGATCTGCATGTTCTCAGGAGATTATGCAATGTATAAGCCTTGAACAGAGACAAACTTCAACCCTCTCCTTCCACGCAAGTAATTCCTACAGCAATGTTAAAAAATGCTGAAAATAAGCAGTGTGAAGGCATGGCTTTCACACTGGAATAAGAATATTCCATTAGTAGAGCGAGAAAACGGGGTGTTTTACTGATACGGTGTTAAATGCAGAACACAAAGGCCTGAGTTTAACTCCCCGTTCCAAATGGTTTTTTTTAACCTTGGACAAATTGTTTAATGCCACTGTACTGCCTCAATGCCCGCTTCTTCAATGCGGATGAAAGTCGTTCATAAAAATAGGAATTAATGGAGTTAAAGCTTGTGAGCCTGTCGCATACCCTGGTGAAGGGACTCTGAGCCAGAGCAGCAGAGAGGCACCGGTCCAAGTGCCAGTGTTGATGCAGTGTCCCTTGTCCCTTGCAGTGCCACTTGTCCTCAGCCCCACTCCATGGAGCGTGTGCCCCGTGGGGATGGTCTCATCTCTTCCCTTTAACTCTCCCTGCAGTTGCTCGAGCTGAATCCCGAGAAACGTTTCTCTCAGCTGAAGGACATCCAGGCCTTCCCATATCTGTCTGATGTGAACTGGGATGCTGTTCTCCAGAAGAGGATAATGCCAGAATTCATTCCCACGGTAAGGCTGTTTGAGTGTAAATGTTCCTGATGTGCCTGAGCGTCACACGCCACAGCCTGTCCTCACACCTGGCACTGGGACATGGGACGTTCTGACAAACTTCCACTGGAGCATCAGGTGTCACAAGGGGAAAAGGAAGACCAGGGCAGGGCTGCCACTTCCCTGTGGGTGTAATGAAGAGTAACGGGGGATGACTGCAGTGTGGGTGCCCCGAAACTGGTCTGCTCTGTTTACAGTGTTCCTGGAATTTTTGGGTGCAGAACTGGTGTTACAGGCTCTGGGCTGTGGGTCCATGTGGGATGGAACATGTGGGCAGTGCCTGTGAGCCGTGCTCTGGACAATGCTGCTCCCAACATCCAAACACCCAGTGCACCAGAATGGGCTCAGCAGCAGCCTGGGAATCACCCATCATCTTATGGGAACTGTTTCCTCCTGTAATGCCTGCCCTAACAAGCTCATTGTTCCCAGTAAATAGCACATACACTAGATTAGTGTTTCTGAGCCTTTTTTAATTGGATTAAAACAGCACACAAGTAACATTATACTTGTGGAGAACAGTCTGAGTGCTGCTGTGTGTGGTTTTCAGCCATGTAGAAGTTGGGGTAAACTGTGAATATTTGTTAACTATATGTATTTCCCCCCCTGTGGGTGTGATTCTGTATTGCTTTAAGACCAGTTCTGCAGGCTGCTGTGCTACTCTAAAGAGGCACATCCCAGCCAGGACACCGTCCTCATCCTCATTGCCACTCTGAAGCCACCAAAGGGCAGAGTAGAAGCAGGAGCACAAAAAGAGCCACTGTCACACCTTGAATATGCCCTCTGGCTGAAGGAACTGACAAAGTATGGCAGGAGTACAGCAGTTGCTCTGGCTGCATGTGCAGCTGTAATTAGTGCATCCTTTTACAAAATTCAGCTCTCAGGCACAGTTCAGTTCATGAGAGACTTCTCAAGACAGCTCTGACCACTTACGGTTGCCTCTCTCTCTCCCCTCCAGAAAGGCAGACTAAACTGTGACCCAACCTTTGAACTGGAAGAAATGATTCTGGAATCCAAACCTCTTCACAAAAAAAAAAAGCGCTTGGCTAAGAAGGAGAAAGGCACCAGCAAAAGCAGTTCCTCCCAGGTGAGAGCAAGCAGGTACAACCATGTGGTCAAGGACGTCTCTCATTTTCCACGGAAGATGATTGCCATCTAGCAAGACCACAGCAAACTGGTTGAACAGAACATTTTTTTCCCTCGTGACCAATTTTATTCCTAAAACTCTCCCACATCTTCCCTGTGGCAGAACGTTTATGCACTGGCTTAGTGCGAGAGGAGAACCTTAATGCCATTCTCCCCACCGCAGGGCTAAAGATGCTCTGTGTCTAAAGATATTGCTGTGCCTCCTTGAAATTGCCCTTGCAATGTCTTTCTGTGTCAGCTGTGAATTTATTTCCCATCTCTTTTATTTTTCCATTCCAATGTGAAAGGCCAGCCACATCCAGAAGCACCTGGAGATGCTCCAGAGGGACTTCATTGTTTTTAACAGAGAAAAGTAAGTTCTGATCCAGAGGCAGAAAAAGAGGCTCTGACCCTTGCCAAAGCCTTTTACAGGTTTGGGGGGCCCAGGGCTGAGAGAGGGTCTAAAGCTGGGGGGGGTTTAGGGCTGGTGGGGGGCTTGGGGCTATGGGGCCCCAGTTTTGAGGAGGCACAGAGGACCAGGGAGTGGGGTGCTCCCAGGCAGCTACACCACTGCAGGGTCTTGGCTCTGCCTGGGCCCCCCCACAGCTCAGCTGTCCTTCTCTGTCCCCAAGGGTGAGACACCACCACGACAGCATCCAGGAGACCACACCACTGACAAAAAGCGGAGGCACGTACAGGGAGGACAACCAGAACAACAACCTCTGAGAGCAGCACGGCCCCTGCAGGAGACCTCCCCGTGGGGCTGGGGCTTGCCCACCCACACATCGTCACCATGTCGGACCCTGGACTCGTCCTCTGCTGCCAGGACCCTGCCAGTAGCCCAGGGCACCAGGGGGAGTTGGGGCACCCACCCCTCAGCCTGCCACCTCACAGCCAGAGGGTCCTGGGTGTGGGAGGAGAGGCTGTGGGTGCTGCCTTGCAATTGTCCACAGTCAGTTAGACTCAGATCCTATTATGCTGCCTTTCCTGATGGCAGGAACGTGACCATGTGACGATGGATGAGACAGTATCCACCCTTCCAGCTTGGCTGGCCGGTGCCACAGCCCTCGGTGCGCTCTGTGCTCAGAGATGCCACCACCATGTCAACTGCAGTGCTGGGGCCACAACAGCACAGTGGGTGAGGGCTCTGCAGAGGTTGGGACTCCAGCATGGATGGGCTGCTCCAGGGGGAAGAGGTGACCCCCAGGTGCAGGGTCTCCACCAGTGCATAGTGACAAAAGTGACCTTTGCTTACAGACAGCTCCTGTGAACACCCCATGAGGGTGGGCATGGGAGGCTGGAAGTGGCAACGAGCTCCTTCCTTAGCTGGGAGGAGGCAGCAAAGGTTTCCTGTCCCTTTCCCTCTCCACATACTCAGCAGGGCTGGCATGGCCTGAGTGTGCAGACAGATGTGACACCAATAGGTAATAACCAGGCACTGACAAATCCAGATGCTTTTCCAGCATGAAAAATGCCTGAAAAATCCATTCACCATCATGTTAAACTGTTGCCACCAGAGGGAAACTTTAATGTGTATTTTTAATCTCTCTACCATTGAAATCACACTCAATTTAAGCAGGGACTGTTTGCAGGAATGGCCACACTGCTGGTGTGGTCTTGGCCAAGACTGAGATTGGCCAAGGTGTTTTTACTGCAGTAATGTTGGGAATGATGCTATTATTTAAATGCTTTGGCAGGCCTGATGTTTCCTCTCCTTCTTTGCCATTTTTCCCACTCCCAGCAATATAGTGAATGTGTGATGAACTCTTTGCCTCCTATTTACCCAAAGGGACACATCCTGTCTGGATGGAATTAGTTCAGCAGTAAATAGGTAGTGAAGCCCTCAAAGTAGGATCATTGCCAGGGGAAAGTCACCATGTCCTGCTCAGTCACAGCACACTCTGACTCGTGTTGCTGTGTTCTTGCCCTCCTCCTCCCCAACCATCCTGTCTTTTAATCAATAGGATTTCTGAGCAGGATGGGGGCTCCATGTCTCTCTGCCTTTTGACTTGCCATTCCCAGGGAGGCTATCCAGAGCACCTCCAGTGTTTTCCATTGGTCCTCTGCTCTCTGCCCAGTCCTACAGGGGGTCTGGCACAAGGCCTGGTCAGGATGGACTCTGTCAACAGCTGTCCCTGTACCCTGCACAGCACATCACTATTGCTGCCTTGCTCTGCTGCAGGTAGGGGTCCACACTGGAGTCCCAGACAAGGAAACCAGCTCTGCTCCTCCCGGGGAAAAAAATCTGCTGCTACAGAAATACCTCTGTACCGGCTGGTCAAAAAACCCAAACCAACTTAAGTACTTAAATGGTAAGAACATTGCATCTTTAGAAATTCCCCAAAGATTTCTACAACCATCTCTCCCTTCCCCTCTTCTGCTGTAAACAGAGGCACAGTCTCAGCTTAATCACTACCAGGCAACAGGGAAAATTCTTTAATTACTTGATAGCAGCACTTCACAAAGCTTGTAAGCATGAAAAGCCTTCCCTGCCCCTGGCACAACTATTCTGGCCTGGCCCCTTAAGGACTGCTGCATGGACAGCTTGTTCTGCCTGACTTGCAGGCATGTAAAAATAAGTATTTCAAGGTCAAATACTAAAGAAGGAAAAAAAAAAAGTGTATTTGTTTAGCACAGCCTAAACTGACCTTTAATTTTTGAAATCTTTAAAAAACTATCACTTTGTTTTTCTGCATGCTTTCCAAGCTTTAGAGGGCAGTGCCTCTCAGTCTGACACACTGCTGGATGGAAGGGGAGCATTTAACTCACAGGTACCCACAGAAAACAGCCTCCAAGCCTGCCTAGCCGGGATGACCCCAGTGCCATGCCCAGGCAGTGCCACATGGAGCCCACCCCTGTCACCACACAGACAACAGGCACAGCTCTTGCCGGGCAGTCACAGCCCCTGGTGCCCAGGCCAGGCTCAGCCAGAGACTGCATGGACAAACTGAACAGGCTTTTACAAACACTTGCAACGTGCTGTTTTGCCAATACCTTTGCCTTTGCCTGAGCAGCTACACCAACCCTCTGACACTGCACTGTGTCATCCTGACAGCCCATTCTTGCAGCCCCTCCAGCCCAAACACCACCCCGAGCCCCTTGTGCCACCCCAGCCCAGCTCCCCGTGGGCACAGCTGGGCACTGCCCCTGCCAAGCAGCAGCCGCCTGAGGAAGAAAAGAGCCAGCCAGCAACATGAGTTGTTTGAAGGAACAACTTTTTTTTTTTTAATAAAGTGTACAAAGTAGTAAAACTCCTTACACGAGGTGCTGTGACAGCCGTTACAGAGATGATTCGGGCTCCCCCATAGGCCTCGTGGTGAAGCGCCAGAGCGTTGGGTGGAGATGAAGGACATGAACACGACAGACCCACCTGCCCCTACCAGCTCAGTGCACCTGCCCTCCCCATCCCACATCCTGCCTCTGGCCAGACCCTGCCCCCTCGTTGGGTCACCCCACGGGCCGTTCCCACTGTCCCACAGCATCCCACACGCGTTCAACACCAATAACACACTGAACCAGCGACCTGTCCGAGCTGCATGCATACAGAGAGGAAGAGCAAAACACAACCCGACCGAACCCACAACAGTGACAACAACAGAACCTTAAGGCTATGCAAAAACAAAATGAAGCAACATCTTTAAAGCTAGGTAGCAAGTAGCATTTGTGAAACATAAGGCTTGAGGCTTATTGATTCTTCTGAACAGGTTTACTTCTTTTCCTTCTTAAAACACCAATGTACCATTTTTCTTCCTTCGCTTGAACAGGGACTTTGTTTCCTCCTCAGCCGGGACATTTAGCTCAGGGAGGTGATGTTGGAGCGGCCTCCCGGGGGTGCGACGATGCGCTTGCTCGCTGAGCGCACGCCTTCATCAACCTGGGTACCTGGGACAGGACGAGAAAGCAAAGGGAAGGGGGAGAGCAAAGTTAAGAGCATTTTCTTCACAGGACTGAGCAGTCAAGCAGCCTGGGGTTTTGCAAAGGGCCTCCTGAGACTGTCTGCAGCAACTTGCTCCCTCTCCCAGCTCCAGTAGTGACCCCGAGAGCAGCAGTGGCTTGAACATCTCTGCAGATGCTCCATGAACAGCCCCACACAGCAAGAATGGCATCAGATGCTGTGCTGGCCTCCACAGGCACAGTCTGCCTTGCTTCTACTGCAAGGTACAGCTCCAGCCATGTCCTTTAAGGAACACACAGGGTCTTGCCCTGCCTCTTGTGCTCACCTTGCCCCACGCCACCTCCCAGCTGCCCCCCACTCCAGGAGCTGGGACACGTGGCCAGGGGCTCTGCCCTCTCCCAGCCCAGCTGCCACATGTACTCACCTGACAGGCTGAATCCGGACTGGTGGAGGTTCCTGACAGGGGGTGTCTGCCGTGTGGGGGACTCCCTGGTTGACCCCGCAGGAGTGCCCCCCTTGGGGGTGGTGGTGAGGTCAAACACGGGTCCGTCATACATGCCCCGGGGCACAGCGTGCATCTCTGCCATCTGTCACCAGAGAGAAGAGGACAGTGGCACTTCTCTGAGCCCAGGGAGTATCATACACCATCCCTGGCTCCCCAGTCCCCCTGCAGAGGGAACTCTCACTGCCAGCCCCGTGACCCCCAGTCCTGTACTGGCACAGCCCCACCCTTCACCTGCCCTGCAAGGTGTGCAGAACCAGCACAACAGCCCAGATGGGGCTCATGCTGCACACATGAGGGAGGACAAGGTAATTTTGCCCAGCCTCTTCATTTTTAACTCAGCACTTCCCTCCACACTCCTGCTGCAGCAGGACAGGATGAGGACAGACATCACTACTGCTGACCTCGAGGAGCATCTGCCTCCAGCTTGGCACACCACCAACACAACAGGCAAAGCTGCCTACCCAAGCCTCAGCTTTATAAGTATATATTCAAAATACATCAGTCTGCAGCAAGAACAGCAGAGTAAAAATAGCCAGTTATGAAGGAAAAATGCGATTTGGGTGAGCAGTGTCCCAACTCTGTCTCCTGGCATCCCCATCTCCTCACCTTCCTCCTGGCTTTGATGCGCTTGTAGACATAGTCAGGGAAAGGGCTGCTGGGCAGGAAGCGTCCGGTCCCCTGGGTCACATGCAGGTTGCCATCCTCCAGCATGATCTTCCCCTGGCATATGACAACCAGCGGGGCCCCACGGAGCTCCATTCCCTCAAAGATGTTGTATTCAGCCACCTGCAGCAACCCAGAGATAATGGTCAGGAGGGATATGAGCACTGCCTGCCTACTCAGAGCAGGTCAGTCCCCACACCTCGCTGCTGGAGTCACCAGTGCGGGGAGAGGACACCTGTAACAGCCTTGCCTGCCTCAGAGGCCTCCTGAATCTCAATAGCCCAGCACAGCAAGAACCCACCAGAGCTCCCAACTTGAACCAGGACCTGCTCCTTTGAAGCTCAGTGTGAGGACAGAGTCCAAGAACAGAGGAGGGCAGGACTTAGGCTTGAAGTAAGGCATGAACAAAGCACACTGGCAAAGCCAGGAAAAAATTGTGCCTGGAAAAGGAATCCAGATTAGGAGAAATGTGTGCCCTTACATCTGCATGGGCCAGGGTCAGGAGAAGAACACCCAAGCAGGGCGAGAAAAGCCCCATGTGCAGAGCCCAGGGCTCAAGGACATCCACAGTCACAGCTGGCACGCCCAGAGCCTGGGTTCAGTGACCCCTCCTCAAAGACAGACAGGGCAGCACCAAGCTCCCAGCAGCCAGGCAGTCTTTCTACAGAGTTACTCACACCCCAGCCTGCAGCATTCACACAGATGAGCACAGGACTTACAGACTGGTGAGTTTTTGCTGTGATGATCTTCACTGCATCAGGATCCCATATAACCAGATCGCTGTCCGA